AGCAGGGCTGGCTCTCCAGCACGGTTAAATAACCAACTGAAGACCCCCTAGTCTGACGTGGGTGCTTATTGCATGTTTTGAGTGGAGCTTAAGGCTTGAGAAAGGTGGCCAGCCACTTTTATACACTTAATTTTGCACATTTGAGAAATCTGAGTTTCCTTGAGAAATGCCTTATTTGGAATGATTCCGGAAAGATTGTTCAAGAACAAAAAGCATTAAAGGTGATGCATTACATTTAGAAGCACAATACATTGAGGGAACATTTCCAAAACCTCAAAGAAAAGGCCTTGTTTCCGTTGAGTTAAATGGTAAATAAGTGAGCATACTGTCACACATAGATGTGTGTTCAGTGCTTTCAACAGTCACATTCTGCCACAATTAACAGCCAAATGAACATTCTTGGTCCCTCAGCTATAAATAAACATTTTAATCCTACAACTTGCTTACAGATTCTTAAGAAGCTGTTCTAAAACAAAAGCCTACAAACTGGCTAGAAATCTATAAACTTGAAATGTAATATACTTGTCCTTTCTTAACCAAACACCAACTCTTTGCATTAATTATTTGGGATAGTGACTAAGAATTGACATTCATCTTCACAATGAAAAAATAATTATCATAGTATTAAAGAGGGAATGACATCTTTAATAGGAAGGCATGTGGTCTCTCACAAAGGACTGCAGCGGAGCTCAATGAAGGCTTCCTTTTTCAATTTGTCTAGGCATGTTTGCTTTTTTGTCAGGCAATATATTTCAGAAAATATTGGCAATCCTTCAAGAATATTATTCAAAAGGTGATTTATTATCAGCTGGTGCCTATAATAAACTCTCTACTGTCTTTTTGCCTGATGCTTTAATTTTATGAAAACAAATTAAGGGCATTAAGCCAGGGAAGAAGAGTACTGCTCAAAGTATACCTGCTGCTAGCGCTCAGGTCAAAAGCTACAGGATGTGGTAGGACTGCCAACTAGAACCTGCCTGTTGGAACACTAATACTCTGTGAGCTCATATGCCTTTCTAAAGACAAAATTTAAAAGTCAGGCACAACTGTCCAGAGGTGAACTTGCTGCCCCATCCTGGCTGTTTGAATCTAAACCTCCTTGCTCTCCTGTTCCCCTACCTTTTCCCTATGCCTTTTACATTTGATACTTTTCTTTATGACTTCCTCCAGAGTTCCTCAGTTACAACACAAAGTTAATCTTTGGAGATTTAAGCACTTAAACTTTTTTTTTTTTAAATTATACTGTCTGTGAAATTCAGATACTTAATGACATCACAATTTAGGCACTTTGAATGAACCACACTTCATAATGGCATAAATACTATTAGCCTTCCAAAAGTTACTGTTATTTGTGTCTTTATTAATTAGTTGTGATAAAAAATTTCAAACTCTTTCTATGTACATATGCCCACTATCCCTTCACTTGGATTATACGTTAAATTTGTTGGTCATTTTTAACCATAATATTTGCACAGGCCCAGGGGTAGACAAAAAAAAAAAAAAAAAAAGGAGGGAATGAAAGGAGGAGGGAAGAAGAAAAGGGGGGGAGGAGAAATGGATCACTTTCTTGTCCTAAGGCAAAATTAGAATGTTAACTGAAGTAAAATTCTCTGCACTGCTCTTAGCTAATAGGAAGGAGAAAAGCATCAAGCTCAGCAGCTTAGGATATTCAGTACATGGCAAAGGTCAGAGATCAGTCCCTGGTCAGAGGGCATTTCTGGTGCTTCTTTCCGGTGCCAGTGTCCACCAGCAGACAAAAGGGAAATGGCCATAACATGGAGGAATCCTTGACCAATGTTTTACACAATGCTTACACTTCAGTGCTCTGTGCTCACTGAAGAATTGTATGAATGAATGAAAATCAATTCAAATGACACTGACAGAGTGAAGCCAGTAGCATTTCAACAGATGAAGAACGTCTAAGATGATAAAAAGAAAAAACATGTAAGTAGTGGATTACATCTTTTTGGGATTTTTATAGTCTATTTTCAAAGATAGCCATACCTTACTGTGCTCTGTTCCAAGACTATAAAGTAAGCAAAGATAATTAAAGAACAAAAGAAACCATCCAATTAATGTCTGCGGGGTTATCCAGGCATCATAGCTATGCAAACAAGTTAGCACATTTAAGCCCACAGCCATCCTCATATTCCAATGCTTGAAAACTTAATTTTGTCACCTTGGACCAGTGGTGAAACCTTGAAATCGTAACTCGTACTGTACCTGTCTCCTACTATAACTTTGTGCAGATTAACTGACTGCTGTCACAAAGAGGTATGAAGATAAAAATCCTTGTTTATTATTGCTGTTAGCGGTCAAATTCAGCACCGAATCAGAAAAAAAAATTTACAAAAATCACTTCCATCCTTCAATTTTGCATTCTTAGAAATGATTCCCACAAAGCAGCATCATGAATCAAGCTAAATGGTTTTGACTACAAGCACTTGCAGGCACGATTTATGAATGGAAACATGTAAAGTCCACTCTGGCCAGCTCTGAAGCCCCATAGTTTCTCTCAGGCTATTTATAGAAAGCATATGGCCACTGGGAAAGATCACATTTATTTTTACAAGGTTATGACATGACCTCTCTCTGAGAAGGTAATTTTCTGCACCTGAGGGTTTGGCTTCAGGAATGGCGGGGAAGGAACCCCCTTTAACCAATTAAATTAGCTGAGTCAACCCTATCGACTAGCCCACAGGGTGACAAACACTAAGTCAAACACCCTCATTTCCCAGGCATGACTATATGATGCTATTCCTTAAGATGTCATCTAGATCATGACTAACAAGTAAAAGAAAACGCATTACATAATACGCCTCAAAATGCTGCTGAAATAGGGTATACGGGTATTAACATAGTGAATTCTTATTTATAATTTGTCCTAATTTCAAACAGCTAAATACAATAAAGTAAAACTGAATTGTAATGGAGGTGGCCAAACAGAGATGGTGAAAAAATATTTATAAAGATATTTTATTCTGATTCCAATATTACTCCTGAAGTAGTTAATACACCTAGATAGTTCCACACAAATGTGGAGACTCAGTAAATATCTGCCAATTCTGAAATATCATCATTATCTTGATAGAAATCTGATATAATTTAGCAAATAACATATATAGTTTAACAAATAATCCTGGTCTTGTATAGTGGATATGGTACTTATTGGCATACATGAAGTGAAGCCAAACCACTGTTTTCAACCAGAATATCCTATTGTCAATATTACACACAGTATATACAATCTAAGATTGAATAGGAAAAGTGGAGGAAGGAAAAGGGAAAACAAAACTGAGTCCTTATTCTCTCTGACACATACTGGGCACTGAAATCTTCACAGGGAAAAGTGTGTCACCTTACTAGACTCATGCATCATAATCACTTGAAAATGATACGAGTATAATTTTATCCTTAAGTGACCTCTGCCTAAGGACAAAGACAAAGGGCAAAGAGAGAATTCTGTTTGTAGACCCAGAAGCTCTCCAACAAAAATTACAAACGACAAATACATGTTTTTCCCTTGTTCTCAACTTATCAATACTTTTTAGAAGTTTGCCTTCTGAAAGTTCTTTCTGAAAGAGGAGGTCTCATTTTACAAGGAAGCTATAAATACTCCTCAACCTGTTTCTCTAACTTCCAAATCAACATTGTTTGGGGCTCTAGAAGAGGCATTAATGACATGTAAATAAGTTTGCATGTTGAAATTATCCTGATTTCCACAACAGGCCCTGAATATGTGGTACTGAATTATGTTACAGCTGAGAAATAACATGTTGTAGGCACAAATTATCAGACTCTTTAACCTAACAGATATTTCCTCACATTTCACAGAGGATGAGACTCTGACACCCACAAGCAACTGTGCAAAGTGTGCTCACAATTCCATTAAGAGGTTCTAAATGAAACACGATAAAATAAAATTAAAAAACTAGTTGCCATCAAGTCGATTCTGATTCATGGTGACCTGTTTGCCACAGGATTTTCAGTGGCTGATTTTTCTGATGTAATCACCAGGCCTTACTTCCAAGGGGCCTCTTGAGTGGACTCAAACTTTCAACTTTTGGTTGCACCACCCAGTGACTTCAAATTAAATATGAACACACATGCATTTAACTTCTGTGTTCAGAGTAACATACAAGGATACTGCTTTCTCCAGGGAACGGTGCAAGCCTTTCTGTTGACAAATACAGTACTGATTAAAAGTGAAAACAAAACTGTTTAGGAGTGCCAGCATACCAGTGCTGCTGTTAAGTGTTCATTCACCTATTTGTTTGAACTGTTACACCATTAAGACAAGACTCGCCATTGGTTCTCACCAAAAGACATCAGAAGTTTGATAAGTATTTAAATAAGCCACTTCAGTGGTTTGTGTTAATCTAGAGTAGCCATCTCAATTTACAGATCAGTATTTGATAGAAATGTCTAAATAATACTAACCAATCTGGTCATTAAAAAGGGTCTCAAGGGGGCATGTAAACTAATGTCTCAAGGATAGGGTGACCACCAGTCATTACCCTAGTTTGGACCCAAGTAACACTTCAGTGCCTAACTGGGCAAGGCTAATCTTATTTAACTCAAAATTTTCAATTAAACTAAAGACCCAAGCAACACTTCAGTGTATAACTGGGCAAGGCTAATCTTATTAATTCAAAATTTTCAGTTAGGATTCAAATAATATGCTTCTGACTTTCATAATATAACTGCTTCATTTATTCTTGAACATTATAAATTTTAAGCAAGGATGGGCAACATCAATTTAGAATATCCTCTTGCCCTCCCCCATGGCTGCATTAGGAACCACAGCCACATTGGCAGGTTGGCTCCTTCTCCTTGTATAGAGCATGTCCCAGTAAGCTACTACTAGTTTTATGAGAAACTTAGAACCAGCACTATTTTCTTCTCCTCCTATGTAGGATGTTAAATTTTGATTTGCTATAAGAAAATCTTACTCCTGCTGCTCTTCTTCATGTAAGAAATTGTGTGTGAGGACCAGTCACTTGGGCATTGCCTCAAAAGGCACATTTATTCCAGTGGCAATTTAAATAAGTAGAAAAGGAAAGAATAAGATTAAAATAGAACAAAACAAAACAAAAAACCAGGGTGGGTTCTGTGACATACATTAAATACAATCTGGGATCTATACAAACCACTCAAGCTCCTCACCAGTAGTTTCACTAGAGTCCCTTCGGTAGAATAACTCACAGTTTTATCATGACACACACAGGCCTTCAGAAAACACTGTTTAAAAAAGTAGTTGAGAACTCTCAAGCAGCTTTGCCCTGATGTCCAGTTCAAATGTGTGCAATGCAGAAGAGCTGCAAAATTCAAAACTATGTGACAAGGAAAACTCAGTGCATATCACAGGCTTTGTATAAATTATGAAAAATCATTGTATATATTATTATTTAAATAACATCTGAGAATAAAAAATTTGGAATAATTAAGTTTTGTTCACATTCCATGCATTTTCTAGCAGGTTAAGCCCTTTGTGCCCGTCTCCTATACAAAGCTCTATTCTTTTGATAAATCCAAGCATTCCTCAGACTGAAATGGAAGTACCAGGGGATTTTGTCTATTTACCTTCTTTACTGCATACCTGACTTACAAGGATTATTTATTATCCTGGGCACAGAAGACAATTAGAAAAGTGAACTGTTTGGGGTTTTATTTGGGATTTTATTCGCTGCCTTTGAAATCCTTGCATGTCAAAGACTCTCCAGACTACCACCTGAGTTTTTCCAGGGGCAAGAACTAGTGGCCTCTTCCCCCTGCATGTCCCCCTCTCTCTCTTCCAAAGCCCCAAGCGCCCTGGAATCCCCTTGTAGCAGCTGGGCTTTCCCCTGCTGTGGGTTTGCAGCACCTTCCTCTAACAAACAAGGAAACACAACGAAACTTGAAAAACAAACCAACAAAAGCAACAAGTGACTCCAAACAAACAGGTGGGCCAACCAGCAGCCTCCTTCAAGGCGAAGGCTCACTTCTTACAGCAGAATTCAGAGACGTTTAGAAACTTCCTGATGACCAGCCCCAGGCAGATCACCAGCAGCAGCATGTAGCCCACTGTACCCAAGAAGGTGGGCGCCGCAGGTGGCGCCTTGAGGAACTGGTGCAGGCCTTCTTCCACGTAATACACCTGGTCGTAGATGCTGAGAAAGGTAAAGATGTGGAAGAGCTGGTGGCTGTGGCCAATAATGTCGAAGAGGCCCGGCTGGATGCGCTCGGGGATCTTGCTCACGTTAAAGAAGGCGGCCACCACCAGCCAGAAGTACCGGCGGTAAAAGTGCACGAAAAGCGTGGGGTTCTCCCCACGCAGGTCAAAGAGCCAGCTCTCAAGCATGATGGGGCAGGCCATGCTGAGTGGCATGATAAAGACAAAGGTGCGCAGCGCGAATGGGTAGGCGCACCAGTCGGTGCGGCTCTTGCAGCAGGCCACGGTGCAGGCCACTGCCAGCACGAAGGCTACGGGCAGCACCAGGGCACGGTAGGCCGATATGAGGCGCGAGCAGTCCACATGCCACCCCAGGCGCTGCTGCACATATGGAGTCATGACTCTGGCGTCCAGCAAGCTCAGGCCCGGCAGTAGGTAGTAGTAGTAGGCCACAGTGCTGCCAAAGCCATAGTAGCTGATGGACGCGTAGTCCAGGTAGAAGAAGGCGGCGCGCAGGCGCAGCGACAGGCAGCTGAACACGTGCGCCGTGCAGCTCATGGCGAAGGTCAGCAGCACGCCCGACGCGTAGCACCACAGCGGCAGCAGCCACGGGTGATGGAAGGGCACATCGCGGCCACTCAGGAAGAACAGGCGGCAGAACTTGCTCAGGAACAGCAGCAGTGGGATGAAATGCGTCCAGAAGTTGAGTGTCTCGTTCGTCGGTTTCAGCACCGAGGCCAGGCACTCCTGAGCCGTGCAAGGCAGCCGCCGGTAGCCCGACAAGATGAAGCACTCTACGAAGTCGTCGGGCACTTCGTCCCAGCGCAGTAGTGGCGTGGCCGACTTCGGGGGGTCCGCGGCGGCGGCTGCACGGTGCGGGCGTGGGGTGGCTCCCGAAGCCCCAGCGGCCGTGGCGGGCGGGCCCTTTGTGCCCACGCCCCGGGGCTGCAGGCGCCGCGGCATGGTGCCCAGGGCTCTGCTAGGGCGCGTGCAGGCGACCTCTGGCGCCGGCACCCGCACTCTCGGCAGCCCCCGCCGGCCGCCGTCGGAGGCTTTGTGCCCGCGCCGGGGGCGTCCCTGCAGGTTCAAGAGAAGACTTGCGCCTCTGAGCAGCCGCTCCTGAAAAAATAAAATAGGAAATTAATAAGCAG